ACTGAGTAGATGGGATTAAAATCAGAAAGTATCAGTCCAAATTTACATGGAAGCCACTCTGTCTGGAAAGGTAACAGTGAGAACAGATTATATGAATCATGGTCATGTTAATTTCTTAGAAGATAGGTTCTAGGATCAGTTGGTTTAGAAGCTGTCTCCAGTCGTACCCTGGTGTTCCTGCTCCTCAAAACTGGTTCACTTTGGTAATTCTTTAAAAGAGACTAATGCCTCAGTAAACTTCCTGTTGTTATTAATTGCCATCGAGTCCTTTCTGACTCATAGTGACCCTTCATAGAATTCCTGATGAACAGCTAGTGGGTTTGAACTGCTGACCTTGTGGTTCGCAGTCCTGTGCTGATCCTACAGCGCCACACCAAGAGTGTATATATATATATATCCTACTTTGGACATATTATCGGGAGAAAGATATCATGCTTAGTAAACTCGAAGATCAGCGAAAAAGAGAGAGACCACCCCCACCCCCCCACCCCCAATGAGCCAGATTGGCACAGAGGCAGCAGCGGTGAGCTCAAGCAATTGTGAGGATGGCGCAGGACTAGGTGATGTTTCATTCTTTTGTACGTGGGGTTGCTATGGGTCAGAACCGAGTCAGCGGCACCTAACAACAGCAATATATATGAGTCCTAGAGTGGCACTGTAGGATAAAGCACTAGAGTGCAAGGTTGGTGGTTCAAACTCAACTTACCAGTTGCTCCTTGAAAAACCATATACAGGGTCACCAACTTGATGGCACATCACAACAATATGTGTGTGTGTATATATATATATATAAAACATGGGGAGTGCGGTGGCTCTGTAAGATAAGCACTAGGCTTTGAACCAAAAGGTCAGCAGTTTGAGCCCACCAGCCACTACACTGTAGAAAGATGAGGCCTTCTGCTCACAAAAAAATGTATAACCTTGGAAACCCTATACATGGTCTCTAGGAGTCAGTAACCAACTCCGTAGCACATAACAACAACAGCAGCAGCATATATATGGTGTGGTGCTATAGGACAAACACTGCATGGAAGGTTGATGGTTCAAACCCACCAGCCAGTCCATGGAAACCCCATACAGGATTGCTATCTGTTGGAACCAACTACATGGCACATAATAAGAACAGGGTCTATGTAGCATTTTATTCCATGTATAATCCTAACTCCTCTCATACTTTTGTTAGCATTGTTCAGAGTACCCTTGCTTCAATGCTAACAAAAAAATTCTTGCTAGAAAGCAGTGCTTTCAAGAAAAAAAATATTACTGCAAGAAGATAGTGATAATAGATTATCTTCTCTCATCTATTACCTATTCCTTCTGTGATACTGACAAAAAAAAAAAGTGACTGACTGGATGCCTTACTGAATATTTATGTTGTTATTAAGTGCTGTCAAGTTGATTCTGACCGATAGTCACTATAGGATTTCTGAGGAGCAGCTGGTGAGCTTGAACCAACGACCTTGCGATTCAAACCGACTTTGCAGTCTAGCACATTAACCCATAGTGCCAGTACTATTGGAGGTTCTGGGAATTGGCAATGTGAAAAAGACAATAGCCTTGGCCTTGAAGAGATATTAAATTATAACTGAGAATGTCAACAACTAATAATAAGCACAATAAATAAATAAGTTGTATATCAGAAGGCAGAAAGAGTTACTGATATGGAGATCAGGGATGCTGAGGAATTTCTCATCTCTTATACCAAGCAGGCTTTGTTATTGTTGTTTTCTCCATGTTGTTGTTGTTATTAAGTGCCGTTCAGTCAGTGCTAACCCATAGCGACCCTGTGTAGGATTTCCAAGGAGCAGCTGGTGAGCTTGAACGGCCGACCTTGCAGTTCAAATGACTTTGCAGTGTGGCACATTAACCCACAGCGCCACACCATAGCATATTATATATATGTGTTTGTGTGTGTATGTGTGTGTGTGTGTGTGTATGTATGTATATATTTGTTGTTGTTAAGTACCGTGGAGTCGGTTCCGACTCATAGCGAACCTACACAGGGTTTCCAAGGCTGTAAATCTTTACGGGAGCAGATCGCCTCATTTTTCTCCCGCGGAACCACTACATTACGCTACCAATATAGTGGTTACGAATCGGGCAGCGAACCTCAAGATCGGCAGTTCGAAACTACCAGAGGTTCCTCAGAAGAAAGATGAGGCTTTCTGCTCCCGTAAAGATTTACAGCCTCAGAAACCCTGTACAGGGTCGCTATGAGTCAGAACCAACTCCACAGCACATAACAACAACAACAACAACAATATATATGTATATATGGAGGAGTTTCAAAAAGTTCTTAGGAGAATTCCATTATCTTTTCATTTCATTTCCACAAACTTTTTGATGATTTTATATATATATTTCTTTATCTCACATTCTGTATTCCCCTTCCTGTGGTTCCCAGTAGAATATAATTAATCTGTTAACTCTGGTAGCATAGTGGTTACCAGTAGGGCTGCTAACCTCAAGGTCAGCAGTTTGAAAATACCAGCAGTTCTGCGGGAGAAAGATGAGGCTTTCTGCTCCCATAAAGATTTACAGCCTCGGAAACCCTTTGCAGGGTCTCTGTGAGTTGGAACTGACTCCAAGGCACACAACCACCACAAGTATATTATCAGTTTTGTTCACAGAAGAGTACCTGTCACACAATGGATACATAATAAATATTTGTTGGATGAATGAGTTAATTGTGTTTTATACAGGGTGGATCTTACAATGTGTGTGTAGATATGTGACAAGGCAGGGATTATGCCATATGGATATCTCAAGAAAAAGTGCACCTTGCAGAAGGGCTAGTGTGGCTGGAGCAGATTGAAATATGAGTAAGAGATGCGACGTGAGAGGTAGTCACAGGCCAGAGCAATAGATGGCTTTGCAGATAAGGGCTCTGGGCTTACAAAGATGAGGTATGCTGTTAGAGTTTTGAATAAAGGATTGGCATCACTCTAGTTGCTCTGCTGGGAATAGACCAAAAGAGAAGCAAAGGCAGATGTAATAAAACTAATTAGAAAGTCATTACAAACTCTAGGGAAGAGATGATAATGGCTTGGACCAAGGTTGTAGCAATGGAGGTGACGTATGCAAAGTGGTCAGATTCTGGGTATGTGTATTTTGAAGGTAAGGCTAGCAGAATGCTAATGGATTGTATTGTTGAGTTGGTTCCAAATCATAGCAACTGTGTATAGGGTTTCTGAGGAAACCCTGTAAATTGGAACCAACTCGACTATGGCACTTAACAACAACACAATCCAATCCATTAGCAAATTCTGTTAGCCTTACCTTCAAATATTGGATATTAAAGGTTATTAAGTTGAGCAACATTAAGGTTGGAATTGAGCTAGAGAAAACCACAGCATCAACAGGTTTCGGGGGAGGAGATAAAGGAGTTGAGGGAGTAAGTTCCAATCTGGAAACATTAATTTGGGAGGTGTGAGCAGATGGACGATGCTAGATGAGATCTGGATACTAGATGAGTTCTTAGTGTTCTGATGACTGAGCCTTGGGTTCTTTGGTGTTCAGTGTTCAGAGACAGGAAGGACCAGCACAAGAGATTGTGAAAGAGAGGCAGGAGAGGTCAAAGGACAACTAAAAGAATGTTTCAGTAGGAGACCGTGATCGTCTACACTGTTGCTCATAGAATAAGGAAGCTGAAGTCTGACAATTGAACACAGGTGTAAGTAACTTGGAGGTGACCCTGATAGACAGTTGGGGGAAGTAAAGCGAGCCAAAAGAGTGGTTGGAATGACTTCATTGGGACTACAGCAAGAAGAGAATGTGGGGTTCAAAGAAGGCTTATTTTTTTTCAAGATGGGAGAAATAACAGTATTGTTGTATGCTAATTGAAACAATTCAGTAGGGAAGAAAAAATTATAAAACGAGAGATTGGGAGACAATTTGGGGAGCAATGGTTGTGTTTTAGGATAAGCTGATAAGCCTTGGACTGCTAATCACAAACTCAGTGGTTCAAATCCACCAGCTACTCCGCAGGAGAAAAATGAGACTGTCTACTCTCATAAAGACTTACGGTCTCAAACCGTGAGTCAGAATCTACTCAGTGACAATGAGTTTGGGATTTTGCTCCTTGAATAGCAAGCTTATATCCAAATATTAAAAAGGATTAGTATGTGAAACAATTAACTAATTCTTGTTGTTGCTAAGTGCGGTGACGTCAGTGACCCTGTATACAAAACCCTGTATAGGGTTTTGGAGGCTGTTTTTCTTGCAGTTATTGGTGGGCTTGAATTGCTGACCTTGTAATCCACTGCTTATCCTACAAAGCCACCATGCATAACTAATAGATGATTACTATTACTAAAGTGTTTGTTGTTGTGTTGCTAAGTGCTGTCCAGTTGATTCCAACTCACAGTAAACCCTGTATAGGGTTTCCAAGGAGCAGCTAGTGGGCTTGAACCACCAACCTTGAGGATAGCAGTCCAGTGCTTATCCTACAGTGGCACACCAGGACTTCATGACAGATGATTAGTAAATGCTTTAGTATGGACTTCTGGTGTGGCACTGTAGGATAAGCACTGGACTGCTAACTGTAAGGTCTGTGGTTCAAACCCACCAGTTGCTCCTCGGAAACACTATACAGAATCACTGAGTCGCAACCAACTCAGTGGTCCGTAACAACAACAATCATTCATCATAAGAGGATTTCGACCAGGCTGATTTGTTGCTTTGATTTAGTTACAAAGCAGTCAAGTATGATAGTAGATGAATAACCCCATTTTCACAAATGGTTACTTGAGCAGGGTCATTTGACTAGTGAATGGTTTTCTTTTTTAATGGTTAGCAGATATTGTTTTGCAACTGAAGAATGATACTTAGTGTCTAATGCTAATTTATGATTGATAACACAGATTACTTCCCAGCGCCAGTACAGAAAAATGATTCCATATTCAAAAATTATATTTTTCTATGTAATTTTTGAAATGTATAGTCTGTTACTGGAAGCTCATCAGATTTTCTAATTTTTTTTTATTCTTTTAACTTTCCAGGCCGGAGTAAGACAGCTTTATGTACAGATTGAATTTGCAGCCATGTAGTGAATGAAAAGGAATTATGCTTGGTTGTTTTCTTTTTGGACCAATTTTTTTCTGGTACTGTACAATCCAAAACATTGTACCCAGCTTTTTAAATAGAGAGATCATCACTACAACCTCCAGCACCAAGTAGACCAGGTAGAGTCAGCAGTCTGCCCACAGTTCACAGCTACGGGATCAGAATTAAAAGACTATCTCCTGGACATTTTGGTCTTGTCTTTTGTGCTCTTTCCCTCTGTACCATTTTGATTTCTGAGGTTTCTGGTTTTAGTCCAAGGTGTTGGTTTTTGTTTCTTTCTCTTTTTTTCATCCTGCACCCTCCCATTCCCACGTCTCATCTCCAGCCAGTAGGAAATTCAGACTGTGAGCCTCCAATCATCTGGAATGTCTTCACTGAAGCTGCTTGAAACCACCACTTTAATTCCCACAAAACCAGTGTTATTTAAAAAAAGAAAGAAGAAAAGAAATGGAAATCTGTTTTATATGTAAAGTCACAATTGTTGACGTTTTTCAGTATAATCATATGTTTGTGAAATTGTTTGTACTTTGCAAACTTATGAACCAAACCATATTGGGTTTTCAAAGTGCCTTTACATCAGAAAATATATTTGCCAACATAGAAATGTACCATTTCATGTCATATGTGTCTTTTATCCAAATGGATATTCTGTAATCTATACAAAAGATGACTCTAGCTATTGATGTATACAGATTTGTGTGTGTGTGTGTGCGTGTACTTCCAGCATCGGTTCAAATGTATAACAATATTCTTTGATTGTTTTATCATATCACAAAATGAAAACTGTTATTTTGCTTTTTAAAGCAAATACAGTTATCACATTAAGTTACTTTGTGGACTGTTTTCAGAACCTTGCAAATGTATCTGTCATATAAAAGGTTTTGATTGACTAAAGATTTGCCAAATTCCAATTTTCTATAAAAGCCTCTGTATCTGCGATGAAGTTTCCTGTATCTCTCCCTGATGCTTAAATGCATTTTATTAATGAAAGGAAAAATCCAGGCAGACTGAAGCCCAGGTAAACTTCCCCAAACAGAAATATCCCTATACTAATTTTTGCTTTTTAAACCTAGATTTTATTAACCAAGATGAAAGACTTAACACATATGGACAGCGTCCTCATTTTTGCTAACTCTGAAGTGCATCTCTGTGAAAGGTGCATCTCTGTGAAAGGTTGTACTTATGACATATTTGAGTTACAACAAATCTCACTTAACCGTTTCCTTTAGCTTTTGTACACTTTCTTGTTAATAATATATACTACATACAATATCGTCCTGGTGTGGAGCTGTAGGACCCAACACTGTACTGTGAACCACAAGATCAGCAGTTCAAACCCACCAGCTGCTCCTTGGAAACCCTGTGTAGGGAAGGTATGAGTTGGAACCGACTCAACAACACTTAACAACTACAGTGTTGCAGTCCGTAATTTGTTGATGTTATCATTCTCAGATACTCATTTGCAGATGTTCAAAGATCAGATTTATATAATGATAGTAAAAGGCAACAATAAGGAAAGCTTTTCTTTTAATAAGGTGTACACTTATTTCAGAATGATTTATGATGAAGGCATCGGTCTGGAGCCCCACCCCTCATAACCTGGGGCTGTCGTCTATCTGTAGCCCGGTGTTCCTCTTGCTCTCGTCCCTATGCTGTCCTTTGCAGCACAGGTGTAAGGGAGTGGTAACAGGCTTTTATTGGCACTGTGATTTCCCTTGTAACCAGAATATTTCAGCAGCGTTCAAAGCCTACACTTACATACCAGTAGCCAAAGTATTGTGACTTTTGTGCTAATAAAAAAACCACCTTTGTAAAACAGCCAAATCATTGACTCAAAATGCAGTTGATCAGAGTCCTAGCTACTATTTTACCTACTGTGGAATCAATCAGTTTATATATCAATTACTAATTTGGCAGACAGCATCAACAGCAACAATCTTGTTATATAACTCTGGGGTTTAAGAACAATAATATTTAAATTGCTTAATGTAAGAATTTTATGTCTAATGAGAGACTGTCCTTAAAAGCAATTTAGTTCTACCTCTATTTTACAGGTGAGAAAATTAAAGCCCAAAAAAGTCTTTACTCAAGGGGACAAAAGTTTTTAGTGAGCAAGACAAGACAATAGATTCCAGGTCTTCTGACTCCAGGTCTCGTGTTCTTTCTCCTTTATTGTGCTGCCGCTCTAGATTTAGTACTTTCTGTAAATGTGATAAAAGTCATTTCTAAATAAAGGGCATCTGTCCTCCATTTTTGATACATTATAGCACTATTGTCTCAATTTTTCATGATTAATTAAAAGGCTTAGAATATTACCCCATAATATTCTTAATGAAAGATATAATTAACATTATTACTCATTTTTTTATTTTTTTTTGCTCCTGTGAAACCAATTGCTGGTTTAAAACAATGAAGAAAGTAACATATGTATAATGGATCTTTTAAATTTGTGAGTTTCTGTTAATTTGCCCAAGACTAAATCTAATGTAAAGATTGCTTAGTTGCTTTGCTTATATTCTCTAAACTGCTGGTACTTTTTAGGAACCAGATTAATTACTGATCATATAATTTCAGTCTTGCTACTTGAGTTTTCAATCACTAAAGAATTTGCGCATATTTAAGATTATTCTCAGAGCTATGCAAAATTGTACTGATTAAATCTCTTCATTCAGTAGATTAAAATTTTGAAGTCAGATAGAATCCCAAAGCTAAACTGCTACTTTTAACTCTTTATGAAAGAAAGCATAACTTTGGGAAAGTTAAAACTTTTTTCTTTTTGTTGCCATCTTCAAAACAAAATTTGTTTTTCAACTCTAGAGCTTTGGCAAAAAATGGAATTATTTATTCTCTGAATAATTCATTAAAAGCTATATTAGTGCAAGAAAGTTGTTTTCAGTCATCATCTACCCAAAGCTTTAATGATCCAAGTCTCAATACATGATCCACAGACTCAAATTATGTGGCAAAAAAGTAAATGCAGAAAAGACACTCCAGTGTGCGTGTAGCTTTATTTAAAGGCCAAATGGATGGGAGTCTTTTCGATAAGGGCGGCTTTGATTTATGTTTAATCATTTCCTAATTGTAGCTCTGGTAGCGTAGTGGTTACGAATCGGGCTGCTGATAATCACGATCAGCAGTTCAAATCTACCAGCTGTTCCATGGAAGAAAGATGAGGCTTTCTGTTCCCGTAAAGATTTACAACCTAGGAAACCCTATGCAGGGTCCCTATGAGTCGGAACCAACAACAAGGCACATAACAACAATTGTAGATATGGTGGATAATAAGCTTTATTAAGCATTTATGTGCTAAGCACTTTGAAACTTTTTTTTATATTGTCACAAAGTATACTTCCAAACCTAATGCTTGCAATATCCTTGTGAGGAAAGAAGTTTAATCCCTATTTTGCAGATGAGGAAATTTACTAGAAAATGTAAATGACTTGCTTGGGGATACCAGTACTGACTCTAAATCCAGGGCTTATTTTGTTTTGGAAAGTCACAGTTTTATGTTCTTCAAAATTTGTTTTTAAAGTTTGGAACTGACTATTAAGTCAGTGAACAATCACCATGACAGAACTGATCATGGAAGTACAGTTGTTATGAAAATGTTTCATTAAACAAGAGTATCCCTGATGGCTGACCAGTTAAGAGTTCAGCTGTTAACCCAAAGGTTGGTGGTTTGAATCTACCCAGTGGTTCTGTTGGAGAAACAACTGCTATCTGCTTATATAAAGGCTCCAACCAAGAAAACCCTATGGATTGGTTCTAGTCTGTCTTCTAGGCTGTACCCATCAAGCTCTTAAAGGGACTAACTTTCAAAAGATCAAGACCTCTGTACCAGAAAGAGTAGAGTCATTGCATTGCTGGTCAAGACAGCTTAATTTAATTTACTAGGGAATTGTTTTCTAAGAAGCACAAATAATTTTGTGCTGCACAAGAGGAATGAGTAGGATTTGATATACAACAAAATGTATAATACATACCTTTTAAAAAGAAATGTTTCATAAATAGCAATAGTGTTTAAATGTAATTGCACTCAATTTTGAACTCTTCCCACAGCTTTGAAAATTTTGTATTTGTAATTTTGATCATGATGTTGGAAAGCCTATAAAAAAGAATGTCTTTATTTCATAGACTAGACTTTTTTATTCCCAAATTCAGACTAGAGTTACACTTAACATGCTTAGTTTATCTTTGGTGAACTAGTGACTAACTATTATAGATGACAGTGGATACAAAAATGAAGGCTAGGAAAACCAGTAATTTACTGTTTATCACATGAGACATCTCAGCATTTCTTTGGCAGTTTTTTGCACAAATAAATTGATGCTGTTAGATAAACACTGGGCTGCTAACCACAGGTTAACAACATTTCAAACCCACCAGCTACTCAGAAAAAATTGAGGTTTTCTGCTCCTCTAAAGATTTATAGCCTAGGAAACACTATACAGGGTCACTATGAGTCAGATTGACTTGATGGCAGTGGTGTTTTGGGGCATATTATATTCAATTTGGTCATTTTTCCCCCTAAAAGCTGCTCATTCTTTTTATACATGAACAGTGGTTCTATGTTGAAATGTTCAATCCATTTTGATTATTGTTTTATGGGAATATAGCAAAATTGAGACCATGGAATGTTTTTATGTTTTGATAGCCAAATCAGAAACCACATTTCCTCCTTTGTTTTTATTGAAAATTGTCATATTCATGTTATTTTAAGGACCTTTATATAATGTCTCCTGTTTCATTTATCTCCAAACATGTTACCCAAAACTTTCAGAGGAATTTCTTGAAGGTGCTGCTATTAAAACAACATTACATGTACTCACTAAGTGATTTAAATATTTCTTAATTTTTATCTTTTACTCGTCAATATACTAAATTTTAGAAGAGCCGCCTTAGATTTGTTTCCCCTTATTTCTCTATTACTGTTTCTACTGTAGAACTTTCATTTTATATTAATGGTGGGTGAAAGCTTTATTATGAAGTTTAGTATCTGAACTTTATGTATCACATACCATGTATACCTTCAGCCTCAATGAAGAGTCTATGTTGGGTTAGACTTACTCTGTCAAGATTCTCATGTAACCCCATTACTTCCTCCAATAGCAGCAAATTCAGTCACAGTTC